GATGGATGAACCGCTCTGGTTGCAGAATAAATGCAATGTGGGTTATGCCTTCATCAATATGGTGTCTCCTGCATGCATCATTTCCTTCTACGAGGTTGGTTTTGGTATCTTAATTGCTGTCTTAAATAATCAAATTATATGAATTTTTATGTCATCTACGTGGTAAAATCTAAATTAAGGTTGGTTTATGCTCCTTCAACGGAAATTTGTTGTTTGGTCATTCTGTTTGTGAGTGTTTTGATTCTTAAAGAGTAAAAAAAACACATCAGATTTTTAACCCGGACTGGCTGATCACAAATTCAGGCAATATATTGGCTAGACTCTTATGCATAAAACATCATGCAGGCATTTAATGGGAAAAGGTGGGAGAAGTTTAATAGTGAAAAAGTCGCTTCACTTGCATATGCACGAATTCAGGGCAAGGCTGCCCTTGTGACACACTTTCAGAATTCAAGCTTAATGAATGAAGATAAGCGATGCCGTCCAATTCTCTTCCACTCTGAGGGCCAAGAGGCTACTGATCAGGTAACAAGAAGTTGTTAACTTATGCTTATGATAAAAAAAAAGTACTGGTGATTATTCTGTCGACGAGTTGGAATGTTCTTCAAAATACTATATTTGTACCGTGTATTTAATGTGTACTTAGTTTAATATAAGAAATCAATGAGGAAAACAATGAAGACCACTTTGACAATTGCTAGTTAGTTTGTAATATGACCAGATTAACTTCAATTTGGGTTAGAAAAATGTTACACCATTTGTTTTTCTTTTCTTCCCTTTTTTTATCCCATTTCCTTTCCTTTTTTTGCTTCCCTTTTTTTGGAATGCTACATTATTTGCTGACGTTGAATTTTATTTTTTGGATCTTGCAGGAACCTTTCCTATCTGGTAACTTAAACATTTGTATCCGTCAGCCTGATGGATCATATTCTGGGGATTCGTTGGACTGCCCAGAAGACAGTCTGGATGAGAAACTGGAGAAGAATTAACAGCTGAAATTGCTCTTGGCCTTGAATGGTGGTCAGGAGTGCTAACCATTGTGTAGGCATTTTCAATGTATAAATTTGGAATAGAAACTAAAGTGTGGGTACAATATTGATTGAATGATGAGCAGCCTCCACTTTTGCGTCATGGATGCTGCACAGTATCTCACAACTGGCAGAGGGCATTTTGTTCGTCTGTAGAGCAACCATCTGTTATGTGAGGATAAGGCATAACATATTTTGCTGAGAAGTGAAGGCATTTCTCACTGATTTGTACATGGGAAACTCCTATTGGGTTTTCGCTTCGATCCTTTTCTGTTTCTGTACTTGTTTCTGGAGTCCATTTGCAAATAATGTGAACATTTTCATTGGATAACCTGGGATTACGGGCTGTTTACAGAAGTTGTATAGAATGGAAGATGAACAGACCCTGCATCCGGTTCATCCTGTCTTGCAATGTTGTAGCTTTAAAGACATGAATCTGTATATGCTTGTACAGTTGTCCACTTCTCTCTCTGCCCCCTAGCATCAGTGTATGTTTTAGGTTCTTTTAGCCGGCCAATCTGTAGAATATGGATCATCTGTCACGTGTACAGGTTAGATTTTTTATTGCATTAGGTTCCAATCTATGGATAGAGGCATCTGTGTTACTGAGAACAATGATATCGCTGGCCAACTTGATGGTCCATGAGAACGTCCTCTCCTTGGGGTCAAAGCCACAGGATTAATCAGAAATTTCGAGTCCTCTCCATGTCGAAGCGTGAATAACTCGAGTTATCAACTAGTTAGTAATTTAACTAGAAATCATCAAACACATCCCAAAACTAATAACGACCATCACGAACGCCAACAGAGATTGCTAATCCACAACTGACTTGAGTAGCGGTTTGTTAAGCTTCATTTTTCTTGCACTACATTACAGGCCCCATTATCATCTCCCTGAACATGGATCATTTCAAACACGAAGACACTTTTCAATGGCAGATGAGGTTTAAAACTCTCCGAGTCAAGCAAACGTAAATATGTAGTTGTAAACTCTTGTTCATAGTAGTGCACAATCAACCCACTATATCTAGTGGCATAAAGATCATGCCCACAGGCATTCTTCAAAATTTATTACTATCAGATTGTCTTCCAGCTCCCCATAAGGACGACAAAGGTATGTATCAATTCCTACAGTGCAACCCCTTTGAGTATCTTAGTCATATTTGTAAAGCATCAGCAATGGATCCAGCAAGACTCAAAACTTCAAATGGACGCTTATTCGCTATGGCTTTCACAGTGTGCGGGCAGGAATCTGTTATCCAAAAATAGGCAAATGCATTCTCCATGCCTGCTAAAAAAATTTGGCACTATCATCACATGGCTTAAAGTTAAAAGGTTCAACTGAAAAATACATAAGAATAGATCTAGATCAGGATAAGTATGCCTGATAACATGCAGGTCTTTACCCTCATTTTTGTGAGTGAAACGCTCCCAAGAGCGCTTAGGAAAGACACCGTGGGTGACATATGCACTTACTTTTGCTGCACCATGAGCTGCTAATACTTTCTTGAAGAAAAGAGAGGCAAGAAGATAAAAAGGGTAATTTGTCAGAGTTCCACTATTGTTGCAGATCTTCAATGTGGATAAATACAACCAACTAGTGATACATTGATGCATGTATAATATATGCATTGCTTATTAAAGATGCATGGCCTTGGTTCCTGAACCGAGAATAGCCAGCGACGACCTACTGTCCCTTAACAATTCATCTGCAAAAGAGGTGATTCCTTTATTTTATGTTTAGCCAGAATAAAGTTGATTCCAGACTCAATGGTGACCAAATCTGAAACTGATGGCCATATTCAAATCTTGGAGATTTAAGAAAAGAGCTAGGTGGAAAATTGGGAATGTTATACAAACCGCAACTTACAGAGATGACAAAAGAAACATTAACAATGATATACAATATATGTCGGTTATGTGTGTTAACAAAAGAAGTCAGGTCTAAATAGGTAAAAAGGTGATTTTTTAAATCAGAATGCAGTGACTGAAAAGGAAAGAAGGAAAAAAAGGAAGGAATAAAAGAATGAGAAAGAAAAGAACGAGCAAGAAACGAATTGCAGGCCTTAAATGAGATGAGAAATGATCTTTTCCAACTTTTAATTGAAATATTCAAAAGAGTAAATGGCTAGCAAATATAAGGTTTGCTGGAAAATGAATACCTGGCACTCAACAAGTGTGCCTCCAGATTGTACCAAATCATCAACAACGACAACATGGTAACCAGCAGGATTTCCCTCCTTTATTCTAACTATCCTCTCATCACCTTCACGAACCTTCACGCATACCACCTGACATTCAACAACATTAATTACCCAGACAACATGGGAATTGGAGTACGATATCATTCAGTCCATTTTAGAGGAAAAAATTCAAACCAACCATAGGAAAATGATCCAACAGCTTGTGGAATCGCTTCCAAGCTCCATCATCTGGAAATGCAACTGCAATCTGAAATCAAAATCGGAGAGCGCAATTGGTGGCAAGCAAGATATTTCTACTGAACTATAAAATTCTTCAAAGTAACATTAGATTTATAGTGACAGCAATGCCAAAATAGCCATCACGATGATCAGAAACAAAACCCCGTTTCACAGAAATAATCAAAACATTCTGGTGCTACATACCTTATCGGATTCAGGAAGTTGGTGAAGACGTTGCTTTAACAGAGGAATCCCAGTCACAAATAAAGGCAAAACTTGGTCCCCAAAATAGAACCTTTCCTGCATGAGAAGAAGATTGATAAATAAATTATTAGCCTTCTTACTCGAAACAAACAAAAAAAAAAAGAACACATTCGAAACACTCAAAGGGCATAGATAAGAAGAAGAGAATGAGAGCCAAAGTGTTTTTGAGATGCTCAATGAGCTGAAAGTGGTCAGAGGTCACATTTTGATAGATTAAAAGAGAAACCCCTTAAGAATAAATTTAATTACAATTGAAAGAAAAAAACAATTTGATGCATGCCTAGTAACTCAAATATTATGGAAAGACCAGGGATGAAGCCTGCTATGGATAATGGTAATTCATAAAAAAGAACCTGTGACATTCAGCAAGATATTTCTAAAGCAACGAGGTGAAATATAAAGTAATTATTAATGCTGGTTCATTTGCGGAGCAATAGCAGGGAAACAACCTGCAGTGCGTGTATGTCATATATGACTAGACTAGTGGGGCCACCTCTTGAAATGGGAATGTTTGACAATATCCTTGCCATGGTAAATGCAGTTGCAACATCCCCTTCTTCTTCCATTCGCTCGAAGGAGCCAGTTGGAAAGAAAGGCAACACCAATGTGAAGGAAGCAGCAAACAGACGTGGCAGCGCATAAATGACAGATAGCTGTTCGAAGATGACTCCCGGGGAACTAAAACATGCAAGGAAGGCAACATGCTGACCCCGCAAATCTTCAGCATTGTTTATAAAAAGGTTAGGAAATCCATCATCAAAATTCCTGATAAAAAACAAAGAAATCAATCAGCTCTTCCACTCATATAACATTTAACCCCGAGAAATGCAATAAACCTTGCACCACAATCTCAAGGTCATTTGCCATTCAACTGAAGACTTGTTTGAATAGAATACGGAGTTGAACAATCAGTTAAGACCTAAAAAGGAAATATTCAAGTAGAATACAGAGCAGGACTCACGTACAAGAATTATATTTTTTAACTGATAAATTTGGAAGTAATCTTTCTAGCAGTCCCACAAAACACTAAAAAAAAAAAAAAAAGCT